CCTTTATGCCACCCCTCTCTATGGTCTTCAGTCTCCGCCCCTCAATGCCTTGTCCTTCTAAGCTCCTTGGCCTCCCCTTCTCTGTGCTTTGCCCCTCTAAGCTTCTCGGCTACAACTCCTCTATGCCATGCCCTCTCTGTGGTCCTCTGGGTGCTCCTTCTCTATGCCATGCCCCTCTATGGCCTTCGGCTGCTGCCCCTCTATACCATGCCTGTGTTAGTCTGGGTTGACTAGAGAAACAAATTCATAGACACTCGTGTATAAGAAAGAACTTTATATAAAGAGTAATTGTACATTAAGAAAATATCCTAGCCCAGTCCAGATCATCCATAAGTCCCATATAAACCCATATGTCCGATACCAGTCTATAAAGTCCTTTTCAGACTCATGGAACACATGCAATGATGCCGAATGCAGGAAGATCATAGCCCAGTGGGTGGGGAGTCTTGTGGATTCTGTAGTGGTGTAAGCATCTCAGCACTGGCAGGGTTCTCCACGTGGCTACTACAGCTCAGGGCACTAGAGTAGCTCCATGCGTCTTGTCAGCTGTAATGTCTCCCAGGGAATTAGCTGAAAGTGTCTCCTGCCTTCGAGGAGGAATACCAGAGTTCCCAGAACCTTCAGGAGAAGGCCATGTCCACACAGAAGCATCATTGGCTGTGACCTGATTGATAGATTAGACCTCAACCCTTCATTCTTAATCCTCTCAAATTGACAAACGATTTTATAACTACCACAATGCCCCTTTATGCTCCTTGGCCACCGCCCCTCTATACCATGCCCCTCTCTGCCATGCCCCTCTATGCCGTGCCCCTCTCTGCCATGCCCTTGTATGCCACTCCTGCTTCCCCTCTATGTTCCTCAGGCACCGCCCTCTGTGCTTCATTGGCCACTGCCCCTCTGTGCTTTGTGATTTCTCTCAGCGCAATTGGCAGCAGTAGCTAAGCACCAGGCCGTTCTTCTGGTCTCAGTATCATCCACTTACGTTTACATGGTCAACGCGTTAGTACATTGGACTAATTGCTTCCATGCATCTTTCATTTTCGTCGTTTTTGTTTCCTGTGGGTGGGGCGAGAGCAATAATTTGCATGTGGTTTAAAGACCCCAATTGCTACTCACCAGAGTCTGATAGAGCGCATTGTCTTTGTGGGCCAAGCAACGTGATTTTGGAAAGTCCTCTTTCTCCAAGCCTGTTCCATAATCCATAAAATGCAGAGGCACAATAGTGCCTGCTTTGGAAGATTGTTTTAAGGGATGAGTTTTTGTATGTTAAGTGTCACCGCTAGCCTTAGAGCAGGGGTCCTCAAACTATGGCCCGCGGGCCACATGTGGCCCACCAAGGATGTTTATCCAGGCTGCCGGGTATTTTTGCCTCATTTTGTTTTTCACTTCAAAATAAGATATGTGCAGTGTGCATAGGAATTTGTTCATATTTTTTTTTAAACTATAGTCCGGCCCTCCAACGGGTCTGGGGGACAGTGAACTGGTGCCATGTTTAAAAAGTTTGAGGACTCCTGCCTTAGAGAGTAAGCTTTCAATAAACAAGAGATATTGTTACAGGTTTTTGTGTTCATCTCCACTGTCTTGCCAATGCTGTTGGTGCACTGATGCCCTTCCCTCACCTCAAAGGACCAGCGTGTCACCTGTTCTCTTTCTTTTCACCCTACCCTGCTCTCCCCTCCTCGCCTCAGATAGACTCTTCCTAATCAAAAGCACAAAGGGAGGGTTGAGATAGAGAGTTCAGTGTCAAGGGCCAGGAATGGGTCTAGGTATATGGGTAAAGTATGTCAAAGACTGGGTGCTTCTGCTTACCTCCATCCTCAAACCAGAAAACGGGAAGTCATTTTGAAGTCTCAGGACAAATGTGTTCCTGCTGGGACAGTTTGGTGTCAAAAAAGGCTCAGAAGGAACAGCTACAGAAGCCAGGCTAGTGAACTTTGGGACCGTTCTTACCTTGTGAATCATCTTCAGAATTGTGAGCCAAATCGAACTCACTGCTATCAAGTTGATTCTGGCTCATAGTGACGTGATAGGGCAGGGTAGAACTGCCCCTGGGGGTTTCTGAGACGTGCCACTCTCTAGAGGAGATTTCGAACTGTTGATCCTGTGGTTACCAGCCCCATGTGAAACTACCATGCCACCAGGGCTCCTTGCAAAGTTGAGAGAGTAGTCTTTGATTTGTACGATTTCTCCTTGGGGCTCCAATGTGGTCATGACTGTGTGGAGGAATTCCATGTGACATTTTAAACAGGAAGCACCTGAATGTGTGCCAGCCCTTAGGCTCTCATCTGGTCATCAACAAGGGGCCCAAACAAGTGGCCTCTGTAAAGCCAGTATTTTCCTCTTTCATGAAAAGATTTAAAAATAAATAAATCCATGTCACATCCCGTCACAGAGGGGTCACAAGGAAGAGATGTGCCAGTCAGGGGGCAGTATAGCACCGATGAAACACAACTTTCCTCTAGCTCTTTGGTGCTTCCTTCCCTCCACTATCATGACCTCAATTCTGCCATACAAATCGGATTAGGTCAGAACTTGCACACTGCTACAGATAAGAGCCCAAAACACAGGGAATCCAGGATCGATAAACCCCTCAGGGTCAACAAGGCGAGTAGACATACCAGGAGGATTAAGGGAGGGTGGGGGGAGAAACGGGGAATCAATCACAAGGTCAAACCGATAACCCCTACCCAGGGGGACAAATAACGGAAAAGTGGGTGAGGGGCGACAGAGGAAGATGTAAGATATGAAAATAATCTATAACTTATCAAGGGGGAGGGAGGGTGGGAGAGGAAGGGGGAAGAACGGGGAGCTGCTATCGGGCTCAAGTGGGAAGAGAATGCTTTGAAAATGATGGCGGCATATGTGCAAATGTGCTTGGCACACTGGATGAATGTATGGATTGTGATAAGAGATGTAAGAGCCCCCAATAAAAGTAAGGAAAAAAAGACCTATATCTACACAATGAAATATTATTGGAAAATAAAAATCAAATAAGTATGAAATTAATCAATGTCCAGCTGTAGCCTGAGAGAATATGTGATCTACTCAGGGTATAAAAAATACAAAAAGAACCTCAAAGGTTGCTCATGAGAGGAGTTCCTTTGATATGTTAAAAAAAAAAAAAAAAGCTCCTACATAACTTTCTTTAATTATGTAACATTCCTAAAACTAGCCTAAGTTTCTTCAGTTTCTGTTTCTGGCCACGGGTGGAGAGCATTCCAGGCCTAAGAGTTCATTGGCTGTGACAGTCACATCCGTTTGCGAAGACTGTGCTCATTCACGGCTGCCGAGAGCCTGGAGCTAGGAGAGAAAGCTCCTCCGTGCGTGCGTGCGTGCGTGACAACCTCTGGAAGGACAAGAGCAGTTTCCACATTGCAGCATTTCTTTGTCGTGGTCCCCCCCCCCACTCCATTGAAGGAGTAAATACATTAGATGTCAGATGTGCATGTTGCAGGAGGATCCTTTGGAGAGTGGCTTTCAAAGTTGTTGATTCTTCAGCCCTGTGCAAAGCCTTCTGTCAGCGTCTCTGTGAGAATCTGCATGTTAAATTATGAAAGATGCTAAATTATGAAAGATGACTGATTCTGAGCTAAACGGTCAAGGGTTTCGGGGAGGCTTTTAGTTCATTTTTCAAAACGGTCTGTCTTTTCTGTGGAACCTTTACACAACTCCCACAGTGGCTGATGATGTCAGGCTGGACACTGTTCCCTTTTGCGAGTTCCTAAAACTCAGAATCCCTTGATGGTCTGTCAAAAGAGTGTGCTGCAGAGCACACTCTGTCTGTGTGCACACTACTTGTTCTTGTTGGCTGCCAATGAGTCCATTCCAACTCATAACGGCCTCATGCACATGAGAAGGCAAGCCTGCCCAGTCGTGTGTCATCCTCATCATTGTTCTTTATGAGCCCCTTGTTGCAGCCACGGTGTCAGTCCATATCGTTGAGGGCCTTCCTCTTGTTCTCTGCCCCTCAATGGTAGTAAGCATGATGACCTTGTCTAGGGACTGTTCTCTCCTGAGAGCATGTCTGAAGTGTGCGAGACGAAGTCTCACCATCCTCGGCTTGAAGGAGTATTTTGTCTGTACTTCTTCCAAGACTGATTTGCCTGTTCTTTTGGCAGTCCATGGTACTTTCAGTGTTCTTTGCCAGCACCATAATTCAATGTAATCATATGCATGATTAAATGCAGTGATTCTTCGCCAGTCTTCCTTATTCAGTGTCCACTTTGCACGTGCATAGGGGGCAATTAAAAATACCTTCGGTTGGGGGGGGCACACCGTAGGCCTCCGAGAAACGCCCTTGCTTTTCCACACTTTAAAGAGGCCTTGTGCAGCATCTCTGCCTGGTGTGATCTGGTGCTTCATTTCTTACCTGCTGCTTGCTTGTGGATCCAGGTGAAGTGACATCCTTGACCAGCATGGCTGTGTTGCTTTCAGATGTTCTCCGCTTTCAGCCAAGCTTGATCTCAGATCAGCATTGACTTGTCCTCTTCAAAACAACAAAAATCAAGACCAGCGTTTCATTAACATCTGTGAACTAAATATAAATGAGTACTTACTGTATATACTCATGTATAAGCTGAGTTTTTCAGCACATTTTTAATGCAGTTTTTGTGGTACAATTAGGTGCCTCGGCTGATATTCGGGTTGGTCTATACTCGAGTATATATGGTATATGAAATATGGTATATAAATGAGTCTGGATTTCTGGCAACTCCTGTCAGTGTACTGTTGTGACCTTTTTTTTAACCTTGCTTATGGTATTATTTGTATTTTTCAATAATGTCTGTACATGTGGGTCATGTTTCATTTCCATAACTATGGAAAATAGCAATATACATCAGAAAGAAATATTCTTTTCTTTCTACAATGTGCAATGAGCCCATATCAAATAAAGGTTAAAAATTTTTTTCATGGCCATTGTCCATCTTTTATTTTTTAAATTCTTGAAAAAAAGTCTTAAGAGTAATACAGAAAATTATCTCACTTTTCTCTTATAGGCACAAATACCTGGAAACACCTCTTCAGTGTGAAAACTCCTATAGGGAAGGTCATCGTGTAGGTTGTTCCTTTAATCTGACGGATTCTCGTTTGGAACATAGTAGCATCCAAATAATGGTGAAGGATAATGTAGGAAAAATTAGACCATCATTCAGTGTAATAGCTTTAAATTCTCATGGTAAGTTTGAACAGTCCTCTAAGAGTATGGACTAAATATGTTACATCTTTTGAACAATCAGTACACAAATGAATGAAAGAATGGGTGATTGATGATTGTAGTCTTAAAACCTTCCCCAAACAATAAAGACGTGTATATATGGACACCTTTCTTTGACAGAACCTTTTTAAAGAAGCCAACTTGGAATGTGTAATATTCATTGAACTGGTGTTTTGTCCAAGTTTGCTTAGGGACATTCTGGGACTTCAAGCAGTTCGTTGAAGAACTGAGACTGGAACCCAGCCTCTCTGACTCCACAATCTCTATTCTCTTCACTTATGCGACTTGAGCAGATGCTGCTGCAGAATAAGCACTATATCCTACAGGGTTCCCAGATGATCTATTTCTTTAAATGCTCAGAATCAAGACGATGTGATAAAGACTGATACTAAAAAATATTTATCACTCAGCATGGCACAGCCACCAACCAATCAGAACAACCATATACCTATTCAAAAGTGCCCTCAACTAGAAACCAAAACATGTGGTTGAAGCCCTAGCTCCTACATGTTGGTCGTCATATGTAAAATGGTCTGCATGGTTTCTCTTGACCCCTAATGATTAATATCAGTTCAGGTGTCCACAGGTAAATCTCTAAAGCAGAACACTGTAACCATAATGGTGTATTTATTTTTTGAAATATCCCCAAGGAGTTCTGATTTTATCTACATGTTATACAGTTGATTTTTAAGCAACTAGTCATCAAATGAAACATGCCTTCAAGACTTGGAGCAGAGCACTATTTTAACATGCCTTTAAGATCAGCGGTTCTTAACCTGTGGGTGGCAACCCCCGTGGGGTTCGAACGACCCTTTCAAAGGGATCGCCAGATTGATAATAGTAGCAAAATGACAGTTATGAAGTAGCAAGGAAAATAATTTTGTGGTTGTGGGGGGGGGGGGTCACCACAGCATGAGGAACTGTATTAAAGGGTTGAAGCTTTTGGAAGGTTGAGACCCACTGCTTTAGATAATCTTGGAAATAAATTCTAATAATGGACCCAAATTAACTTAGTTTGTAGGTCAGGGTAAGAAGGTCAAGGTAATCTGAAGCAAAACCCCTCTTTCCTCTCCCTTGCTTACCAGCTTGTCCTAAAGGGGCCTTTTAAAGCTCAGTTTGCTGCTTTTATTCCTGGATGTTTGTGGTGACATAAAAGATGGTTGCTCCCCTAGAAGATGACATCTACATGTTGTTTTCTGTGAATTACTCTCTCTGATTGAGCAGGCTTACGTAGAGCTGACCCTTGAGAAAACAGATTGGCCGACAAGTAATCCTGATGGCACAACCAGTATGGCATTTGGCTACTAACAGAAAGGTTGGTGATTCAAACCCACTCAGCAGTGCCATGAGAGAAAGACCTGCCAATCAGCTTCCATGAAGATTACCCTCAATAAAACCTCATGGGGGATGTTCTCCTCTGGCCCATGGGATCACTATGAGTTGGACTTGACAGCACCTAACAACAGTATTTTGAGACTGGTTTTTGATTGGGATGAATGAATGACAGCTAGGGGAATCCCAGTCCCTGGTGCCTTTGCCCATTAGCCGAAGGCACATTTGGGGCCCGGCATTCCTCGTCCGTATTCTCTTTGTCACAGCTGGATGTTCTGATAGTAGCCTGATCCTTTCCCACCTGGAAAGGTTCAGAATTCATGTCATCTGCCAGACACTCCCAAAGATGTTCTTTAAGTCCAATTTATTAGGCAGTTTTAAATAACCTTCCTCCATTGTGGCTACTCAAGAATTCAAGAACTATCTGTCTGATCATGTGAGGCCATTAAAAACATCAGCTCTATTTTAGTTTAGGTTCATGATCTTCGTCACCTCTACTCATGTATGTAGCTTATCAACCTGAACTCCAGAAGCTAATTTGTATTGTTTTTTTCTTTCAGTGGTGCCTGCTCATCCAGATATCATACAGCTCTCCTTAAAAAAGAACAACTTGCTTGTGGAATGGAAGAAACCTGGGGATTTTATGTGTGAATGCTTATCTTCCCAATTTGAAGTCAATAGCAGTCACATTAGTTCTCCAACAATTTATACCGTATGTGTTTTTCTTTTCATTAGATTTTATTTAGAAGTTTTTCTTTTCATTTTAGTTTATTGCCGTGTAATAAATGAAAATCTTAGATATGCCATCTAAAACTGCTAATGACAATGATGTTTCCTCTTTGAACTAGGGCATGGTGGAAGGATTGAAGGTTGGTGACTGATGGTAGTATTGTCTATAAGGTTTTAGCCATTCATTAATTCATTTGCTCAGGACATTCTCACTCTCTACCATGTGCCAGAAAGGGAACCTTGGTGGTATCATGGGTTACAAGTTGGACTGCTAACCACAAGGTCAGCAGTTCAAAACCACTAGTCACTACATGGGAGAAAGATAAGGCTTTCTATTCCCATAAAGATATAGTCTCAGAAACCCACAGAGGCAGTTCTACCCTGTCCTAGCAGGTCACTGTGAATCAAAAGTGACTTGAGGGTGGTGTGTTTTTTTGAGACCTGTGCCAGGCACTGTTTTATACAGTATAAATAAGACCGTGAACATGACCAACAAGCTAGTTTCTCCTGCTCCAAAACTTACATACAAGAAGCTTTTGGAAAGGAATAAGTTCATTTCAGAGAATAAGTGTTATGAAGAAAATAAAAGGGCATAACATGCTAGAGAATGACTGGGAGGATCTGAGGAAACGTTAGCTAGTGTCACTGTCAGAAGTGATGACATTTAAGGTGAGGTCAGAAAGATGTGCAGGAGCTGGCATATGAGGATCTAGAGGTAGAGGAAAGAGCAAGGACAAACATTTTATGCCAGAAATGAACAGGGTATGTTTGAGAAATAGAAAGGAGACTGCTATGGCCAAAATATAGTAGGAATAGATATCTAAGCACCAGACAAGGATTAGAAGCTCAAATAAGGCCATTCAGTTGTAATGGACTTTGAAGCAAGTAAGTCTAATTCAAGTGGTCAACATTTGTTGGATTATATGAGGGTTAGCCTGAAACGATTGCAACTAGGATTCCAGTTCACATATGCAAGAATTTATTCAAAACAAAAAGTGGTTTGACATGTCTCTGTGAGCAATGGATGGGGCTGCAGACAATTTCTCTGTGCTACACTTGTTTTTTTAATAGGCCCTGGCACCGTAATGGGTTAAACACCAGAGGGCTAATCACAAGGTTAGCAGTTCAAAACCACCAGCCATGACAAGAGAGACAGATGAGGATTTCAACTTCTGTGCAGACTGGCAGTCTCAGAAACCCACAGGTGTAATTGTACTCCATCCTAGAGGGTTGCTATCAGTCAGGAATGACTCGATGGCAGCTAGTAAGTCTTATTAGGGTTCCTTAAAAAAGGGGGGAGGTAGTTTTTGTTTTTGTTTTGCCATGGGGGGAAATTACTGTGAGCTCAAGGCTAATATCAAATTTGTAACAAAACTTAAGTGGACATCTTCCCAAATTATGGACACTTGGCAGCACGATTATGGGAATGCAGCTCCATTGTTAAGATGGATCAAGCATTTTAAGGAAGGTCAGGAAGAGCTCAAAAATGAATTCAAAGCAGAGAGGTCAGCCGGAAGGTATGGGGACTTTTTTTTTTTTAATTCCAAAGGGGTCATGTTGATAGATTTTCTCGAAGGACACAGGATGATCAGAGGGTTTATCACTAACAAAATGTAAGACAATGGAATGCTACATAGGCGAGGAAAAGGCCAGGGAAGTTGTATCCAGGGAATTGTTTCACTCATGACAGCACTGCACTTCCTTCTTCAAAGGGGTAGCCAAGGGGTGTTCCGTAAGGATGTCATTGGGAAACCTCACCCCATCCACCCACCAGCCTAGATCTTGCTCCTGGGGACTGCTTTTTGCCCCTCAAGCTCCGTGAACATTGAAAGAGAGCATGACTTTGAGTTCTTCAAAAATGCCCAGATTGTTATTTTGATGGGATATAAATCGCAGGGTTCAGGAAATGGTTAACGCAAACCCAAATACCCTGCTTTCTATTAGATTCTGACTCAGTGACACTGAAGGAATCTCATGTTTCCGAGACGGTAAAGCTTTACAGAATCTTTCACAGAGCAGCTAGTGGGTTCGAACTGCCCTCCTTTTGGTTAACAGCTTAGCCTTTTCCTCTCTGGCGCCACCTGCACCCCTGTGATGTTGTTACGTTCTGCTAAGTCCATTCCGATGCATAGGTTAGAGATACGGAAGTGTACAGACCTAACTGGAGGGGATATGCTGAGAATACGTAGCTTGGTGTTGGAAGAAACCATTCCAAGTGGTATGACCCTATGTGGGGTGGAGCCTTAGCGAGTGGCGCCACCCCACAAACCTTGCGGAGCCCGTGGTTGGTTCCACCTCTTCCGGAGTCTTTTCTCCAGCTCAAAATGGCAGCGGAGGGAGATTCAGGTGACCGAGAGCTGTTCCAGGCCTTCGACGAGGCTGATAATGTGATTCAGACCCCCATGCACACTCTGTTTGAGGACGAGGAGGAGGAGGTAATCAATGTGGTGGCTGACGAGGAGGAGGAGGTAATCAATGTGGATGACGAGGAGGAGGAGATAATCGAGGTGGTGGATGACACCGAGGAGGTCAAGGTCGAGGTGGTGGATGATGATGATGAGGTAATCGTTGTGGATGACGCCGTGGAGGTCAAGGTCGAGGTGGTGGATGACGACGAGGTAATCGTTCTGGATGATGCCGTGGAGGTCAAGGTCGAGGTGGTGGATGACGACGAGGTAATCGTTCTGGATGACGCAGTGGAGGTCAAGGTCGAGGTGGTGGATGACGACGAGGTAATCGTTCTGGATGACGCCGTGGAGGTCAAGGTCGAGGTGGTGGATGACGACGAGGTAATCGTTCTGGATGACGCCGTGGAGGTCAAGGTCGAAGACGACGAGGTAATCGATGTGGATGACGCCGAGGAGATCAAGGTCAAGGTGGTGGATGACGACGTGGAGGTGCAGGAGGCGGAGGAGAAACTGCGCGGTGGCGTCCCGGAGCTGCGGGAACCGCTTTGGCCAAGGGAGTACACCGAGGTGGAGCTGCTCCGTGCCGAGAACCTAGAACTTAAAAGAAAACTGAGCATTCTGACTCAACCCAGTGGAATACTGATGAGCAATACTGACATAGATGGGCCTTTATTACAAATTCTGTGTATGAATAATGCGATCGCCGAGCAATATCGCAATGAAATAGACAGTTTTGTATCAAATTTGGTAAAAAGATTCCAGGACCAGCAGAAAAGTAACGCGGAACCAGGCGCATTGCCACCGCATAAAAGTGCCACTTATGATCTCTCCAAATTGGTGAGCTACCCGGGTTTTAACATCTCTCCGCCCAGAGGCAACCCATACGAGTGGAGCGGGTTTGGTTCGGTACCAATGCAGGTGTCTCAACAGAGGGACGCCTTCGCCAACTATCTGACGCCCAAGTCCCAGGCGCCCTGTGGGTTCTCGAGCAGGAAGAGGGCCTTGCCGCAGTCCAGCCCGTCGAGCCCAAAGATGCTGAAGGTGGACCAGAGGCCCGAAGCCTCGCTCAGCCACAGGGAGCTTGACCCGGACGTTTTTGTGTTCCAACTTTCCTGGATGCCTGACTCATCTGACACCCCTCCCGACCTCATGCAACCTCACCCCTCGGGCAGCCCATCGGTGACGTCCAGAGACTTCCCTCAAACCACTGCCGCCACGGAGAAGGACGCCCTGGCTCTGGAGGAACTGCAAGAGAGGCAGTTACAGACGGTCCTCAAGACCAAAAGCATCAGCAGCCAATCCAACTTTCCCGAGGACACAACATTAAAGGAGAGCTCAACTGCTGCGTCACCTGGTTCTGAGGAACTAGACCTCCCTGGGCCCGGGAGTAAGCCCTCCAGAAAGCAGGTGCCAGCGGAAGCAGCCCAGGATTCTGGGGAGGCTGAGGCACCCGATCCTTGGGCTGAGACACCTGAAGTTGCACATTCCTCAGCTGCAAAGGCCTCGGGGCTCTGGGAGGAAAAGGAAGAAGAGGCTGCCTCAGTGGACCTGGAAGGTGCTGCCCTCGAGAAGGGCAGCGCCGTGACTCAACGTGGCACCAGCCACAGGGGCGGCCAAAAGCACCAGTCCAGCACCAGCCCTCCCCTGGCGGCTACCACTTACAGCTCCATACCCGACTTGAGCACGTTTGCAACGGGAACAACTCCATTTGAAGTTGAGAACGTGGCACAACCGACTGGAACATCTCAGAAGAAGGAATTTGCTAAAGAACTCCATGCAGAACCAGGAAAAAACCCAAAAGACTTCTGAATAAGACTTGCCAGAGCACCAAGCTATTCAGGTCTGTTTTGTTAGTTTGTTTTCTCAAGTAGATTATTAACTACGTGAGCAGATAAAATTGTTAGCCTCGCATGTTTGAAAATCTGCCCCAGGTTTAGTTGTGGTCGACAGCCCAAGCCAGTTTTTTTCCCCTCCAAGCTCATTTTTTAAGGCATGGCAAAACTTGGCCCTCTGTTATATATATTTTTTCTCTCTGACAAAAGCTTGGGTTAGGAGCAGGTTCAGAGGTTGTTTTTTTAAAGTTTTATAGTATTTTTGAATTGTGAGTTTTTGTTAGTGATGGTTTCCATCTGCCTTTTATATCTAGATTTCCCTTTATACCTTTTGCTAACTGTCCTGTACACAAACTTAATATAGTACTTTTGAATAGAAAAATTCTAATCATTTCAAAATCGTAGTTCAACTCCAGCAACCAAATATGAAAAATCAGGAAGGGGCAGTTTTATCCTACTTGAGATATTTTTGTAAGTGATTTTCCTTTTTTGGAATATTTTGAAATTTTGTAATTACCTTTTTGGGGGTATTTTTGGTAAGTGACTCCTTTTGTAATGTCATTCTTTATAGTTTGCTATTGCAAGTATGTTCATCTCTGGACAGAGGTTTAATTGTTATTCTTTGTAAACAGTCTAAGATTTTTGAGTACCCTCAAAAGTGACTCATGGTTCATTTTGTGTACATAGCTGTAAGTTTGGAAGTTCTTTATGTGTTTGCAGAAATGAATAGTAGCAAAAGCAAC